CGGTGTCGTACGCCGATATTGCCACATACATACCTGTTATGCATAACATACATACGCTCATACACACACACAGCTACATGACACAACTTTACATTGCCACATACAGCTACCATACATTACATACATACATACATACAAGTAAATACACAGCATAGCGCCAATATCCGTAAACCGCTCAAAGGCGCTTTGGCTCTAAGATGGTCTTAGGACTGACTGACGCAGTTTTGTTTTGGTCATTTTTAGCAATATTCCAGCAATATCACGGCGGGGACAATACCAGAAATGGGCCTTCACACATGTGGGGAATCGAGCCCGGGTCTTCGCGCGTGACGAGCCAACGCTTTAACCACTAGGCTACCCTACCGCCCCAGATGGTCTAGATATCACACACGCAGAGTTCAAGTGCTTCAGCAAAAGAGACACGTCTTTAGATTTGATTTAAAACAGCTAAATCTGGTTGTGTTCTGGTGAGATGGTAGATTGTTACGGAGATGAGGGCCACTCGTCTCGAGTGACCTGTCACCATATGTTTTTGTCCTAGTCACAGGAATTGTCAAAAGACACTTTTGATGTCGCTTTTGCCATTATTAAAATTAACACCCGGAAACAAAGACGGGCTTCGTGATTATTGTTTGTTTGTTGTTTTACGCCGCACTCAACAATAACCCAGCTATATGGCTTGCGGATGCAGCAAATAATCCAGTCTTTAGTGATCCATCAGTGCATGAACATCGATCCACGCAATCTTGATACGATGATATGTGTCAATGCCAAATGAGCGAGGCTGACCGCCTCTAACGACAAGCATGGGTTACTGAAGACCAATTCTAACCTGGATCTTCACGGGGGTGTTGGGACTCAAAACATGGATCTTCGGCTAGCTTAGCTTTCCCAAGCCGCGAGACCAAGACAGTTAAGTGTTTATCCGATGCTACAGAATGGCATTTCAAATTCACATTCTGGTAATAAGACCGCCATAATAAACTGCATAGCTATAAGAACATGGAATTGCCTCCTGTGAATAACGAATGAAGCTCAAATCGAGCCAAGTTAAGTAGGCATAGATTGGTAACAAAGCTAAAATCGTCCGGGGAGCCGAGACATCCGTATTATCGGAGTCCGGACTAACGGGGCTTTCCGCTGTTATATAAAAACAGAAAAGAAATTACACATTTTAGGTACATAAGTGATAAAACACAAGAGGCAACTACAGTACTTCCTAAAAACGATGTATCCGGTGATGTAACAATCAGTTAACGGGACTTATGCGCAGAAAAAGGAAAAAATTTACATTAATAATTTACGAATTATAACTTGTATTCAGTCGAATATAATTATCGTTTACAACAAATAATTATTTTAGTAAACTTAAAAACACACATACATGGTAGCAGCTCCAGTCATGGGTACAAAAGCAGACAATAGCTTCAGGATGTTTTTACATGTTATTCTCTTGATCAATGTGGATGTTTGTTGAACGTAACATGCATGTACCATATCTATATATATTTGGGATTGCACTTTCCAGAAAAGAACTTAAATTCTAAGTACTTTTGTTAGGTTAATCCCATCTGGGATTCCAACTCTCTGGAAGCCGGGGTGGCTGAGTGGATTAAGATCCTCTGACTTATATGGTGGCAATAAGGTTACCTGTGTGTGGCAGACTCGAATCCCGAAAAGGTATCAGAATCTGAACTTTGCTGAGAATTAATAATCCCAACCCCTATAACATATGTTACATTTGATCACTTTCTAAATAGCATTGGTTGAACGTATTTGTAAAACCAGGCGGCAAAACTCTTTATACTCCCATAAGAAAGCTCGATTGTACATTTCCGACTGTATCTTAATCGTGTTTATGAATCACTATCAAATGTCGATACCAGGTGTTGAGCTTCCTGCCCTCTCGGTGCCACCCTTCATAAATACTTCTGCAAAGGCTAGTCAAAATATGGGGACCCAGCACTAAAGGGCATTGGTGGTCACAGTGTGGTCTGGTTTGTTGGAGGTCACAAGCCTCCGTCAATGCGATTCGAAGTAATGACGCTATCACCTGGACCAAAGCTTGATTCACTTACTCACTCACATCGCCGACTCCTCACGAATTTGGCTCCTATATCAGGTGGTGATGGTTTGGTTTTCATGGACACTTTTAGCACTATTTCCCCTCACATATCACGGCAGAAGGACACCATGCAAATGGGCTTCACACCCTGTTCCATTGTGGTGAATCGAACTGGCGGGTATTCGGCGTGACGAGCGAACGCTTTAACCACTAGACTACCCCACCGTCCCTCCTGCATCAGTAAATATCTGTAGATGACGATGTGTATATTGTAAACCATTAAGGTAGCTGGGCTTATGGCTCTGGTATTAGAGACTTACATGGAGGGCTGGACAACGTTGACATGAACAGCTGTATTGGGATTAACTACGCGTGGCCCACGATGTAGGTAATGTTTGTATATACTACTTTAGTCGCTGGCGCGGGTGATTAGGACAGTTTTGCTTGTTAGTGTGTTAAATTGCTTGGGCAGGAATCGGTTTTACGGCTCGTAAACACGTTTGCAGTATTGCGATTTTATCGCGACGACCTTTAAAATTTAATGCCCAGAAGCCGGACACGAACTATGGAATCCGAGGAAGGAACATTGTCGCGTTGTCGCATTGTCGCGTTGTCGCCCTCTCAAAACATGCAAAATGAGGCCAAAATTAACTTAAAGCGCGACAATGCAATGTGCCGCACACTGTCGACATTTCGGCCATTTTGTCGCATTTGTCGCATATCATTTTGAATAATATTTTTCTGGCGAACTCCAAAGGGCGACAAAGCTGACAATTTTCAAGGTCAAAACATGTCGCGTTGTCGCATTTGTCCGCCTCATCTATATATAATGTGTAAAAAACTTAAAAATGCGCTACAACGTTTGACAATATCCCTTCAGTCTTCCATACGAAACCAGGGACTGATAAACCGACTGGTACGGTTGAATACTTATAAAACAAAACATCTTATTGTCCACAGTCTACTGCTTTGTGCGTCTCTTATGGGTGAGTGAATGAGTTAAAATCCTAAAAGTCACATCAGCGATATTTCCAGCCATATCGTGACTAGAATAGTTCATATGTTAATAATGGGTAACGTTATATGATAAAATCTGCCGCTAAAGGATAGAGAACAACGAGAATATCATAGTTAGAGATGGCACGTATCTAAAGGGATATCACTATGGAAAACAATACAATGTGAAAACGGGCTAATGTCTCCAGCAACTGAAGGTAGATCATCATACTAGGGACCATGAGGGATTTACAGTACCTTTGCTGCGTGGACCATACGACTCTTATGAAAAGCATGGGATGCTTCCGACTGTTACAGACTAACGTCATAGAGCTTGAATATTGCTTAGTACGCAAACAAACAAACAAAGAAACAAACAGACAATTATCTGGCAAGAGTATGCGCATGTCTATGCGAGCACTTTACATATGTATTAGGATGTGTACATCACTGTGTACACAATGTATTGCATGCTTTGGCCTTACACAGTCAAACCAGTGATTGATAGCGTGAGCACAGATTGTTGGTTCAATATGGCGCTGTAGAAGTGATGTCACAACTGGCAAACTCGTAAAGATCCGGTTAGAATTGAATCTTCAGCAACCCACTGCTTGTTGTAAGAGGCGATTAACGGGATCAGGTGGTCAGACTCGTTGACTTGTTGACACATGTCATCGTATCCCAGTTGCGTGGATCAATGTTCATTTCAATCACGCATGATTGTCTGGTTTTACAAACCGCCGTAATATTGCTGGGACATTGCTGATTGCGGCGTTAAAGAACTAACCGAACAATCACACACAACTGGCAGTTGATCATCCCAAAACAGCGCTCCCAACGCATTTTGTGAACAAAGGAACATCCAAGTATATCTCATTTCTTACTAATAGTCGCAGGAAGTCGTAGACTAACGCTGAATCTCTGAATCTATATATATTTCTGATGGAAAAATCATTTCTTTATAAATTCAAAGGAGCCCCAGTGAGACGGGAACTCAAGACCTGAGGGAAATCTGGACTTTATTCTTTGCAGAAAGGACTTGGCGGAAAAGTACAATCATGTGGTTCAATGACTTTGATGCAGGAACACTTGGTATGTAGTCATAGTTCTCACGTTATTACATTGTTTTGTTGGGTATACAATTTGATTCAAAGTTGGGCAAAACTATTCATTTGTTAACGCTGGAGGTGTATCATCCCAGATGCGCGTTTCGTTTTAATATTCTGTTATCCATTTTTTATTATAACCTTCTAACCCGGCCCGGCTTTTCTTAGCCTGGGTTTGGCATTCCCATAGAGCATTCCCAAGGGAAGTCCTTACGTGAGGAGTCGTCGATTTGGACCTATAAATATCAAACTGATAAAAGGAAAGCAAACAAGCCAGTCAGTATTATCCTCACACATTATAACCGGGGAAGCTTAATAGACAGATCTAATCTACATGCAACCCGCTTGTACGTCATATGCGCTGATATGATACAACAGACACCAAGCACTGTGCATAACAAACAATAGACTAGCATACGACAATATTAGTTCCCCACCAGTGCGTCGTAAATTAAACAACAGACAGCTTGGTCAATATATTCAGCAGTCTGTCGCAACATCGCTACTAGAATATACCAGCTTCTACAAACGATCAATGATTGGTTAAGAGTGCTTTTAAAGGTGATAACAGATAAGGGCTTAACCGGAGCTGAGCTAAACCAGTACAGTTGGCCTCCCAGGTAAACAATCTCATAAACCGTCAACGCTGCGCGGGATTTTTTCGAGATAAGGACATCCACTGGAACAAAGCTCGTCCTGGGGCAACACCATGCACGTGTCTTTCGCTCTGACTGCAATCCTGTTTGGAGTTTATCCTCCTCCACCCCGAATGGCAGAGCTTTCAATCTGACAATTGTCCACACAAACGACGGATTCATGCACGCTTTGAGCAGACGAACATTCATGGAGGCCCTTGCTCGGGGAAGGACGCAGCGGCCAACAAATGTTATGGCGGCTACCCCGTATTGTGACCAAAGTCAAGGAATACCGGCACCTTAAACCCAACAATACCATTGTCATTGATGCCGGTGACCAGTACCAAGGAACGCTGTGGTTCTACTGCTTCCGGGGAAATGTGACCGCGGAGTTTGTCAACTTACTCAACTACGACGCAATGGTGAGAGTCCTCAATGTCTTCTAAAATCCTCAAATTATATTTTCATGTGTGTTATCCTAGTATCCATGGTATTTTATTTACATCACTTTTGTCATTTTCAAATTATTCTTTCGTAATATGAAATTTGGGTCATAAAGAGATTAGCTGAAGCCGATTAAATACGTTCTCGAAATATACATCATTTAAATCGAGCTATACTTGGTGGCGTTCTCATATAACATTACCTCTCACTTGTGTTGTGTGCATTGAAACGCTTGTTGTACTTTAGGCCAGAGATACTACCTCCCTTCAACTGTTGTCCGATAAAAACTACAGTCTGTAGCTTGTAGCTGCAAAGAAAATATATATACACGTCGGATCATATGTTAAATTGTCATACTTTATGTCATGACCTCGATAAGCCGGAAACCTTTCGGACAATTTCTCCTGGGAACGTACATAAGTATACACGATACAACTCCCTTATACATGATTTTAGCATGTGTCTTAGACTCTAGAGACACTGAAATTGAAACTAACTCAAATCTAGAATGACTTTGCAAGTGTAGAATGCCTTAGCGGGGGACTGAAATTCAGCATTGTTTGGGGAGCTCCTGTAGGATTTTTTGCTCTGGCACTGAATGTTAGTTTGCTTTGATTCAGTAATACACACGCGCACACACGCACGCACACACACACACACACACACACACACACACTCCTCTCTCTCTCTCGCTCATATACACGCGTACACACACACACACACACACACTCTCACACATATATACACGCGTAACACACACACACTCTCTCACACATATACACACGTACACACACACGCTCTCTCTCTCCACACATATACACACGTACACACACACACACACACACATATTTCATACATCATACATACTAACGCCATAGTGTGTTTAGTTAGGTTAGCTAAACGTTAGTTTGGTTTTATTCAATAGTACGTGATGTATTAAGCGGGACAATAATTGCGTGATCGTTACCACCAGGACCAGTGGGGTTCCACTCATCAGATGTTATCACAGCTACCAATGTTACATCTAACCGTTTACCTTTTTATCTAATCTGTCTGTACTTCCTGACATATCTACCACCTATTTCGTATCTCAAGTGTAGATTCACCAGTGCATCTATCCAGCTGCCAGTGCCTATATCTAACCCGATATCTCATCCCTGACTCTGTGGTAACCAATGTTTGATTTCAAAAGGGAGAGCGAAGGGATTGGTTATAATTACATGTGAGTGAGTGAGTGAGTGAGTTTGGATTTAGACCGCACTCAGCAATATTCCAGCGGAGGTCTGTAAATAATCGAGTCTGGACCAGACAATAAAGTGATCAACAGCATGAGCATCGATCTACGCAATTGGGAATCATTACATGTAATCACCATACCCCCACCTGTGTTCACAGTAACAAGATTCTCCGGTGCAGCTTCGTATAGATAACATGATTGTCTAGCCTTGCTTCATACAGATAATATGATTGTCTCTTCCAGCTTCGTTCAGTAAACATAAATGTCTGGTCCATCTTCGATTCAGATAACATGATTGTCTGGTCCATCTTTGATTCAGATAACATGATTGTCTGGTCCAGCTTGATGAACAACAAGAAAAAATCTACTGTCAGCACATTACGCCAAAGCTTTGTTGTTCATCTAGTAAAACATCTGTCTCGTAATGTACAACCCACCTTGATTAAATTCGTAAATATTTATAAGCGTGTGAATCATTGTAAATATATACTAGCCACATAAAGAAACTGTGCACACAGAAAATGCCTTCAGAATTGGAATACAACACAGCAAAGACGAAATGATGTAGACACACTTTATAAGCTGAAGTATCGGACCACAAGAAATTGTCAAAGAACATGAACAATATCCGTAACGATGACGTCAGAAGTTCAAAATCGAGTAGGGGGTCACACGACGAAGTCACAAAATCAATAACGGGTATGACCACCGTGCGTGAAGCACAGCAGTGCAACGACGACGCATAGAGGCTACCAAATGAGCATTGGAGGCCTGGGAAATGGTCTGGGGCGTGGTCACTGCTGTCTGGAACCTGTATCTGAGATGAGTCACCCGAATCCACCTGTCCTGTCTTGGCGTCGTTACGTCGGGACGCCCAGAACGTGGGTGGCCGGCGACGTCATTACTGTTTCGATAACGCCTGACCCATGCAGATATCGTGTTACGATGGCATTGGAAAGTGCTGCCACCTATTGTTGGCTCTCATTCCTGCTAGAACCATTCCAATGGTGCGTCTTTGATTATACCCGTATTGTCCGCCTAACTAGACTTGCCTCTTTGGCTTATCATTCACCACAGCCTTAGAGCAGGGCTCCAAATGATTTGAAGTTCAAAGTTATGCCTTTGATTTGCTGAAACACAGAGAAATTCTTCAACATTTTCAGTGTCCCACCTACCCCAAAAGACTTTATGACGTGAAAATATTATGACACCCACGTACACACACACACACACACACACGCACGCGCGCACCCACACACACAAATAACCACCATCCAACCTCACACAGTTACACACATACTTTCTCACACACACACGCACGCATGCATGCATTTACTGGAAATATTATGTGAATGCAGAGTATATAGTAACGTTTAACATTCTTCTTCACTGTGAGCTAAAAGGAGCATTGTCAGCCAAAGTTCTAGATTTGTCAGTTACCGGCTGTAATAGACTTCATACACTACTTGGATGTAAGGACATGAACCCGTTTTTAGGTGGGACCACCTAACGCTTTAACCACTAGGCTACCCAACCATCCCCTGTAATTTGTGAGATGGCGATGTGAGTATTTAGGTTATCACTTGTGATACCTACACTGAAATTACTTATCAAATACGCACATGAGGCCTGTTCTGAGACTAGCCCGGCGACGCAAGTTGACTACAGCTATGCGAGGCCCCTACTTCAGGAGTTCTCACAAGGTTAACATAATCAAAGGTTGACTCACTGTCTCAAGTAATTGAATAGTCTCCTTATGTGCAGAAATCCCTCCCCAAAAGACCCATCCCATCAAAAACCGATCCAATAGAAAATGAATAAGAGGTTGTATTTCCATAATCACACGTTTTAAAAGAGGATCCAACAACGAGGGAGCTATGACACAGCCTTGTACCGTATTGTCATTTCCTGGCGAAAAACCTGCGTTACTACCGTTAGACCTTGCCAGTCGTGGGAAATGTAATGATTGGCGTTGAACTGGTATAAATTGATATGTAACATCACACGATAATGGTAGCGTCAACTCATACAGCATTCATTATCACGCCATTCCACGTCCATGTGTCCACTCATCTCCCGTATGTTGACTCACATTCCCCTGATAATTATCTTGACCATCAGGAAGAGCTGTGTTAGTATTGTGTTTGATATCTGTCATGATGCAAGTACAACGCGTTATCAGTTAACGCTTTCAGAGGCTGTCAACATTATATTTTATCTGTAATGACTTTTTGTATAGATAGTTTCATTATTAATCAGTGCAATCGTGTTCATACTGGCTTTCCGCGTAAAAAAACAAAATGTGATTTTAGTTCAAAGATATGTTTTGTACAGCCGGTTTTTATTATTAATCAGGGCTGTCACGTTAAACGTGGCATTCGACGTATAAACTAAACCGTGATTTTATTTATAATGATTTTATGTGCTGACAGATTAATCACTAATCAGTGTGTGTGTGTGTGTGTGTGTGTGTGAGAGAGAGAGAGAGAGAATTAATAATAGATTTAGTTTTAGTTTTACGCCACTTTAATCAACAATTACGCTACCCCACCGCCTGCTAAGATAGAGAGGGGGCGGTGGGGTAGCCTAGTGGTTAAAGCGTCCGCTCGCCATGCTGAAGACCCGGGTTCGATTCCCCACATGGGTACAATGTGTGAAGCCCATTTCTGGTGTCCCCCGCCGCGATATTGCTGGAATATTGCTAAAAGCGGCGTAAAACTAAACTCACTCACTCACGAAAATAGAGAGATACTGGAATATGCACGGAGATTACGGCAATCACCACGTTAAATATTCCCTGTTAGTAGCTCATACTCATAACATAATACATCGTAATAATTCAACTGAATATCAAACCGTATCCAATTCCAGTTGGTTGTTAGGGCAACAGAGCTAGGTAAATTACACGCCATGTTAACACACACCACTTGTTCTAATGGGTACCTATCACCCCCTGATTAGTAATGGACTGTGCGTCTTCGTCGGGTCAGGTCAACGCTTCCGTCTCACAACTCAGTTGTCATGCAATCGATTTTCGCAATTGCAGTGTACTCAGTATTGTGCATTGTTCTGGAAACAATAACCGTGAATAATGTTTCCATTTCACATTCAAATACCACGTATAAACACCATGTTAACAATAACCAACATCAGTCTGGGATGTTCGTACTGTATGAACGTTGCTCTTTGTTAGCGTACAAAACCTACGATCGGATCTAAATCGAGTTTCTAAATCGACGGCATAACTGTGGAAAGTGTTTCAAATTTTAAATTTCGATATCGCGCATTAAATACATGTTAAAAATCATCGACGTAAACTGTGACCTTCGATTTTGCATGACAGGTACGTTTTTGGGTTGAAACGGTACAAAAATTATCGTAGGGTCTAAATCGTGACGACACCCACGTAAATATTTGTACCAAACAACTGCAAATATTGTCATCAACGATCACCTTAAAAATCCTAACCGCCTCCGTGGTGCAGTGGTTAGAGCGTCTGCCCGGAGAACGGAAGGTCGCGGGTTCGATCCCCGACCGCGTCATACCAAAAGACGTTGAAATATTGTACTTGTTGGTCCCTGCCTGGCGCTCGGCATTAATGGGTACAACAAGGACTGGTCGGCTCGGAGTCAGTATAATGTGTCTGAGTGGGGTACTCATGCGTCACTGCGGTATGGTATCTCAGTGGGCTAGCACTATAAAACCAGCTTAAGTCTGGGCTAGTACAAGCAGCCGCACATACACATACACACGCATGCACGTCGTCATATGAGCGAAATATTCTCAAGCACGACGTTAAAACCCAATTTCACCTTACCTCACCTCACCTTAAAAATCCAATTTAAAAATGTCACGACCAACTCCTCGTATGGTGAGTATCTCCTGTTCTTCAGAGTGGGTTTACCCAGGTTTTGTGGACACTGTTTCAAATGTTTGGTTTACGTGTTACCTGCTGCCGTACCTGACCTTCACTGTAGGTTCCTTAGTGAATAGACGGCACATATAATACTGGTTAGGCCATTAGTACATTTTATGTCTTTCTCATATCGAACATCGACCAGCAAGTTAGTGAGTGAGTATGATTTTACGGTGCTTTTAACAATATTCCAGCAATAGCACGGCGGGTACACCAGAAATGGGCTTCACACATTGTAACCATGTGGGGAATCGAACCTGGGTCGACGAGCGAACGCTTAACCACTAGGCTACGCCACCGCCCCTTCTCAAATCGAACCGCGACCAGCAAGAGAGCGGGCCAGAGACAAATATGTTTCTCTAAATGTGTAACTTATTATATAAAAGTTTAAAATGTAGATCGCTTGGTAATATTCTGTAAGTATATTTATTATGTAGATTGAGACCTTTTTGTTTCGGAAACAATTTAAAAATAATAGAGATGAACTAAGGTCAAGCTGATCTTTGAAAGGAAATTTATGTTATCACAACTGAGACAAGACAGCGTTTAATTATTTCACGTCAGAATGAAACTTCAGGAAGGGCAGGAGATAAGAAAAAAATCTTTGATCTTGTTACATAGGCAATGTGTTTATATATGCCTCGAACATAGATAACATGATTTAACATATGTTATATTTGGGATTACACTTTCTTAGTAAAGTACAAATTCTAGTACTTTTTTGAGTTGAGACCCATCCGGGATTCGAACTCACACCCTCAGAGTCAGGCACCTAATCGCCATCACACAAAGTCAGCCGCCTAACCCGCTCAGCTACCGCGACTTCGCGTGTTCGAATCCCGGATGGGTGTCAACTCAAAAAAGTACTAGAATTTGTACTTTACTAAGAAAGTATAATCCCAAATATAACATATGTTACATTTGACCACTTTCTAAATGGCATTGTGTAATCATAATGATAACATGATTGTCTGGTCCAGTTTCGATTCAGATAACATGTTTCGATTCGATGTTGTAACTAAGGCTAAATATGTTTATATATGCCTCGAATGTTATCTCGCAGGAGTAGCATTCAAATTGTAATGTTAATCTCTATGCAGAGAAACATCTATTTCTTTCTAGCAAAGATATATGTGTCATGTCCGACTTACAGTCTTGTGTAGCATGGACACGTTTCTACACTACTGCTCAAACAAACAATGACACATTCAAAATTGAGACAGGGCGGTGGGGTGGCCTACTGGTTAAAGCGCCCGCTCGTCATGCTGAATACCCGGGTTCAATTCCCCACTTGGGTACAATGTATGAAGCCTATTTAAGGTGTCTCCCGCCGTGATATTGCTTAAATATTGCTAAAAGCGGCGTAAAACCACACTCACTCAAAATTAGGCTCATGCACAATACATGTATATTTTCTTCTTATCTCCCAACACGTATTTGATTCTTATACAAACGTTTGTGGTTCGTAATCAGTAATACATAATGGAAATATAATGGTGCTTATTTGGTCCTTTGTCGATTGAAACGTTTAATCTAATCTAGAGGTGGAAAAACTGAAGTACTATACTTTTGCTTTTACAGTAACCTTTGTGCCCTTCAAAGGTTGCTATACAAAGAAATAGGTCTTTGACGCTGTAGCCTCAACTAGATAGTATTGTTGCTAGATAATGTATTCATGTATAAATATACTAAGACGTATGTATCATAAGCTCTGTATGATTCCCAGGCAGTAGCAAGGTTAGGATAGGTTCCCATCCATCTGTTGCTTGTCGTAGGAAGCGACAAACCTGGGCCTATTTGATAGGCTCGGTGATTAAGTTGGTTGGCTGGTTTGTTGTTTAACGCCGCACTCAGCAACATTCCAGCTACCGGTATATGGCGGCGATCGGTAAATACTCGAGTCTGGACCACACAATGCAGTGATTAACAGCATGAGCATCGAGCTAAGCAATTGAGATACGGTGACATGACATTGTGTCAACCAAGTCAGTGACTCTGATCACCCGATCCTGTTAGTCCCCTCTTAAGACAACCATGAGTTGCTGAAGACCAATTCTAACCCGGATCTTCACGGGTCCTCGGTGACGTGGTCTGTTGCGTGTCATTGTACACGATGGCGTGGTTGGTAGCCGACGTTGCCACAGAGAACAATCCGCCCGGTCGCGGTACGATGACTCACATTTAACCAGCCTGACCACCTGACCCGTTCAGTGACCTCTTATCACCAGCATGATGACCTGTCCCAACCAGGAATCCATTTGGATCCACTAACTTAATTAACTGAAATTTCCATTTAGTTTAGTGATACAACGTTGACTTCCCTGTTGTATCTGTTAGATATTATGAATGCTTCAGATGAAACATTTAGAAACAAGTTAATTATGAAATAATATAGTAAATACCCTGGAACCAATACAGTTATATTTCTGTCATGTAGAACCCTGATACTATCAAATATGTCAGTCTGTTCCTATATCAAACGTGTTTTATGCCTATGCTGAATAATTCTGTCTGTCATACATTAAAACAAACGTATTATGTCAGGAAGTTACATAATGAACTCTACTGGAAGAGTTTCAACAAGGCTACATTATGCAGATCATATACCGGTAACAGTAGACATCGTCCATGACTTTACCACCCAAATGGGTCATTGCACGAAAACATGAATTTTCCTACCAGGCAGGGGTAGCGTAGTGTCTGGAGAATTCGTTCGTCAGCGTGAACTCATTTGAAGCCTCATTTATAAACTGCTGGATTATTGCATAAAACAGCGGAAAGTCAAAGTTGTTCTCTCACATTACTGCCAGATAACATATTCTGACTTGAACGAATGCTTCGTTCAGGGTTTGCTTGTATAAAGCAATTTTACCTCTAAGACTGTCTTTGCTATACTTTAACAAAACGTGGTACGGAGATTGTTTTCGCTACTATGCTTTGGAATTTCCAATGTTTGAAACCGTCTAATGTAGGAAGATGCTATTTTTAACTTATCCTACAGCACGTCCTCGTGGCATTGTACAGATGCTATGGATAAAATGATTATGATACCTTTCTGAAACCTTAATGTAATACTATGTGAAATTAGCCAGTTACTTCTATTTTATTATCCCCCGCCGCGCGTTTAGCGCGAAGCGGGGGATATAGTATTAGGCTCCGTCCGTCCGTCCGTCCGTCCGTATGTACGTACGTACGAATTGGAATATCTTAAGAACCGTTCACTAGATTCTTTTCATAGTTGGTACCTAGGTTCATCATAGTATAAGAAAGGTCCAAGTCAGGTTTGGTGACCTTGACCTTCATTTCAAGATCGCAAGGGGACTTTAACGTTTCACCTGCATGTCAAAAAACCGTTCTCTGGATTTTCTTCATATTCAATACCAAGCTTTATCTGGGAAAGGCGCAGGACCCAGTCCATTTTGGTGACCTTCACTTAATTTTCAAGGTCACAGAGACACTTTGAAGATTTCAGCATGTTAAATTGTATGTTAAGATAGTCAGCAAGATATCGCAAAATATATTCACAGGATTTTCTTCATATTTGACACAAGCTTCAACCACGGAAGGCCCAGGGACCAGTCACTTTTGGTGACCTTCACGTAATTTTCAGGGTCACGACGACACTTTGAAGATTTCATCATGTTAACCTGAATTGTCAGCAAGATATTTCAAGAACGGTTCACCGGATTTTCTTCATAGACTTTCAAGACTTCCCTTGAATGTTTTTCAATAAGCAATTTCTTTAGTACTAGTTTTGCATATTTCATACACTATGACATTCATGTCAAGGTCAAAGCCAGTCTTGAAAATATGTGTGTGTTTAAACAACTAAAGAACAAGATATCAAGAGAGGTTGACTGGTTTGATTTGATAATTTGCGGCGGGGGATTATGTCATCTTAGTGACAATGCTTGTGTTAAAACTTGTATTTAATTTGATATGCACTTAACATGTACCCTTGTGTATCAGGCGTTGGGCAACCATGAGTTCGACCGAGGCATAAGTGGGCTACGCCCCTTTCTGGAGGAAGTCACAGTACCCGTCCTCAGCGCAAACATCAACGCAAGTTTGGAACCAAGCATCCAGGGGCTGTTCCACAAGAGCACCGTGGTGACCATAGGAGGTCAGAAGATCGGGGTCATAGGCTACACCACCACGGACACCCCGTCAATATCAAAAACTGGTATGCTGGGCACATCGGGGCACTTATATATAGTGGAAGAACAGGGCACATGTATGCAGTGTAATATCAGGGTACATATGAACAGTGGAGCATCAGGGCACATGTAGACAGTGGAACATCAGGGCACATGTAGACAGTGGAACATCAGGGCACATGTAGACAGTGGAACATCAGGGCACATGAAGACAGTGGAACATCAGGGCACATTTAGACAGTGGAACATCAGGGCACATATAAACAGTGATTAGGGCACGGGTATTCATTGGAACATCAGGGCACATGTAGACAGTGGAGCATCAGGGCACATGTAGACAGTGGAGCATCAGGGCACATGTATACGGTGGAGCATCAGGGCACATGTATACAGTGGAACATCAGGGCACATGTATACGGTGGAACATCAGGGCTCATGTTTACACTGGAACATCAGGGCCCATGTATTCATTGGAACATCAGGGCACATATATACAGTGGAACATAAGGACACATGTATGTAGTGGATCACCAGGAAACGTGTCCACAGTGGAATATCGGGGCACATGTAGACAGGGGAACATCAGGGCACGTGTATACAATGCAACATAAGGGCACATGTATACAGTGGAACATCAGGGCACGTGTAGACAGTGGAACATCAGGGCACATGTAGACAGTGGAACATCAGGGCACATGTATACGGCACATGGATAAATTGGAACATCAGGGCTCATGTTTACACTGGAACATCAGGGCCCATGTATTCATTGGAACATCAGGGCACATGTAGACAGTGGAACATCAGGGCACATGTAGACAGTGGAACATCAGGGCACATGAAGACAGTGGAACATCAGGGCACATGTAGACAGTGGAACATCAGGGCACATATAAACAGTGATTAGGGCACGGGTATTCATTGGAACATCAGGGCACATGTAGACAGTGGAGCATCAGGGCACATGTAGACAGTGGAGCATCAGGGCACATGTAGACAGTGGAGCATCAGGGCACATGTAGACAGTGGAACATAAGGGCACATGTATACAGTGGAACATCAGGGCACATGTATACGGTGGAACATCAGGCTCATGTTTACACTGGAACATCAGGGCCCATGTATTCATTGGAACATCAGGGCACATATATACAGTGGAACATAAGGACACATGTATGTAGTGGATCACCAGGAAACGTGTCCACAGTGGAATATCGGGGCACATGTAGACAGGGGAACATCAGGGCACGTGTATACAATGCAACATAAGGGCACATGTATACAGTGGAACATCAGGGCACGTGTAGACAGTGGAGCATCAGGGCACATGTAGACAGTGGAACATCAGGGCACATGTGGACAGTGGAACATCAGGGCACATGTATACGGTGGAACATCAGGGCTCATGTTTACACTGGAACATCAGGGCCCATGTATTCATTGGAACATCAGGGCACATATATACAGTGGAACATAAGGACACATGTATGTAGTGGATCACCAGGAAACGTGTCCACAGTGGAACATCGGGGCACATGTAGACAGGGGAACATCAGGGCACGTGTATACAATGCAGCATAAGGACACATGTAGACAGTGGAACATCAGGGCACATGTAGACAGTGGAACATCAGGGCACATGTAGACAGTGGAACATCAGGGCACATGTAGACAGTGGAACATCAGGGCACATGTAGACAGTGGAACATCAGGGCCCATGTATGCAGTGGAACATCAGGGCACATATGAACAGTGATTAGGGCACGGGTATTCATTGGAACATCAGGGCACATGTTTAAAGTGATTAGGGCCCATGTATTCAGTGGAACATCAGGGCACATGTATTCGGTGGAACATCAGGGCTTATGTTTACACTGGAACATCAGGGCCCATGTATTCATTGGAACATCAGGGCACATATATACAGTGGAACATAAGGACACATGTATGTAGTGGATCACCAGGAAACGTGTCCACAGTGGAACATCGGGGCACATGTAGACAGGGGAACATAAGGGCACGTGTATACAATGCAACATAAGGGCACATGTAGACAGTGGAACATCAGGGCACGTGTAGACAGTGGAACATCAGGGCACATATGGAGAGTGGAACATCGGGCACATGTATAGAGTGGAACACCAGGGCACATGTAGACAGTGATTAGGGCACATGTATACAGTGGAACATAAGGGCACGTGTATATAGTGGAAAACAAGGGCACATGTATTCAGTGGAACATCAGGGCACTTGTATACGGTGGAACCATCAGGGCCCATGTATACAGTGGATCACCAGGGCCGATGCATACAGTGGAACAGCATGGCACATGTATACGGTGGAACATCGGGCACATGTAGACAGTGAAACATCAAGGCACATGTATACAGTGGAACATCGGGGCACATGTATACAGTGGAACATCAGGGCACATATGAACAGTGATTAGGGCACGGGTATTCGTTGGAACATCAGGGCACATGTTTACAGTGATTAGGGCACATGTATAAAGTGGAACATCAGGGCCCATGTTTACACTGGAACATCAGGACCCATGTATACAGTGGAAAACCATGGCACATGTATACAGTGGAACATCGGGGCACATGTATACAGTGGAACATAAGGGAACATGTATACAATGGAACATCAGGGCACTTGTATACAGTGGAACATCTGGCACATGTATACAGTGCAACATCGGGGCACATGTATACAGAGAAACGTAAGGGCACATGTATACAGTGGAACACCAGGGCACATGCATACAGTAAAACATCATGACACGTTTATACAGTCGAACATCAGGGCACATGTAGACAGTGAAACATGGGGGCACATTTATACAATGGAACATCGGGGCACATGTATACGGTAGAACATCAGGGCACATGTAGACAGTGAAACATCAAAGCATGTATACAGTGGAACATCATGGCACATGTATACAGTGAAACATCAGGGCACATGTATACAGTGCAACATCGGGGCACATATGAACAGTGATTAGGGCACGGGTATTCGTTGGAACATCAGGGCACATGTTTACAGTGATTAGGGCACATGTATAAAGTGGAACATCAGGGCCCATGTTTACACTGGAACATCAGGACCCATGTATACAGTGGAAAACCATGGCACATGTATACAGTGGAACATAAGGGAACATGTAGACAGTGAAACATAAGGGAACATGTATACAATGGAACATCAGGGCACTTGTATACAGTGGAACATCTGGCACATGTATACAGTAGAACATAAGGGAACATGTAGACAGTGAAACATCAAAGCATGTATACAGTGGAACATCATGGCACGTGTATACAGTGAAACATCAGAGCACATGTATACAGTAGAACACAGGGCACATGTATACAGTGCAACATCGGGGCACATGTATACAGAGAAACGTAAGGGCACATGTATACAGTGGAACCCCAGGGCACATGTATACAGTAAAACATCATGACACGTTTATACAGTCGAACATCAGGGCACATGTATACAGTGGACCATCGGGGCACATGTATACAGTGGAACATCAGGGCACATGTATACAGTGAAACATGAGGACACGTGTATACAGTTAAACATCAAGACAGGTGTATACATTGGAACATCAGGGTACATGTATACAGTGAAACATCAGGGCACACATGTATACAGTGAAACATCAGGACACATGTATACAGTGAAACATCAGGACACATGTATACAGTGAAACATCAGGGCACGTGTATACAGTGAAACATAGAACATACAGTTAAACATCAACATCAGGTATGTATACAGTGGAACATCATGGGCACGTGTATACAGTGGAACATCAGGGCACACAGTGTATACAGTGGAACATCAGGGCACGTGTATACAGTGAAACATCAGGGCACGTGTATACAGTGGAACATCATGGCACGTGTATACAGTGGAACATCAGGACACGTGTATACAGTGAAACATCAGGGCACGTGTATACAGTGGAACATCAGGACACGTGTATACAGTGGAACATCAGGACACGTGTATACAGTGAAACATCAGGACACGTGTATACAGTGGAACATCAGGGCACGTGTATACAGTGGAACATCAGGACACGTGTATACAGTGAAACATCAGGAGCACGTGTATACAGTGGAACATCAGGACACATGTATACAGTGAACATCAGGACACGTGTATACAGTGGAACATCAGGGCACGTGTATACATCAGGACACGTGGAACATCAGGGTACATGTATACAGTGGAACATCAGTGAACATGTATACAGTGAAACATAAGGGCACGTGTATACAGTGGAACATCAGGGATACAGTGTATACAGTGAAACATCAGGACACGTGTATACAGTGGAACATCAGGACACGTGTATACAGTGGAACATCAGGACACATGTATACAGTGAAACATCAGGACACATGTATACATTGGAACATCAGGATACATGTATACAGTGAAACATAAGGACACGTGTATACAGTGGAACATCAGGACACGTGTATACATTGGAACATCAGGGTACATGTATACAGTGAAACATAAGGACACGTGTATACAGTGGAACATCAGGGCACGTGTATACAGTGGAACATCAGGGCACGTGTATACAGTGAAACATCAGGGCACGTGTACATGTGTATACAGTGGAACATCAGGACACGTGTATACATTGGAACATCAGGACACATGTATACAGTGGAACATAAGGGCACGTGTATACAGTGGAACATCAGGGCACGTGTATACATTGAAACATCAGGGACACGTGTATACAGTGGAACATCAGGGCACGTGTATACAGTGGAACATCAGGGTATACATGTATCAGGGCAGTATACAGTGGAACATCAGGGCACATGTATACAGTGAAACATCAGGACACATGTATACAGTGGAACATCAGGGCACATGTATACAGTGGAACATCAGGACACGTGTATACAGTGAAACATCAGGGCACGTGTATACAGTGGAACATCAGGGCACGTGTATACAGTGGAACATCAGGACACGTGTATACAGTGAAACACCAGGGCACGTGTATACAGTGGAACATCAGGGCACATGTATACAGTGAAACATCAGGGCACGTGTATACAGTGGAACATCAGGGCACGTGTATACAGTGAAACATCAGGGCACGTGTATACAGTGAAACACCAGGGCACGTGTATACAGTGGAACATCAGGGCACGTGTATACAGTGAAACATCAGGGCACGTGTATACAGTGAAACATGAGGGCACGTGTATACAGTGAAACACCAGGGCACGTGTATACAGTGAAACATCAGGGCACGTGTATACAGTGAAACACCAGGGTACGTGTATACAGTGAAACACCAGGGCACGTGTATACAGTGGAACACCAGGGCACATGTATACAGTGGAACATCAGGGCACGTGTATACAGTGAAACACCAGGGCACGTGTATACAGTGAAACACCAGGGCACGTGTATACAGTGGAACATCAGGACACGTGTATAAAGTGAAACATCAGGGCACGTGTATACAGTGAAACACCAGGGCACGTGTATACAGTGGAACATCAGGGCACGTGTATACAGTGAAACACCAGGGCACGTGTATACAGTGAAACACCAGGGCACGTGTATACAGTGAAACATCAGGGCACGTGTATACAGTGAAACATGAGGGCACGTGTATACAGTGAATCATGAGGGCACGTGTATACATTGGAACATCAGGGTACATGTATACATTGAATCATCAGGGCACATGTATACATTGAATCATCAGGGCACGTGTATACATTGAATGATCAGGGCACGTGTATATAGTGGAACATCAGGGCACATGTATACAGTGAAACATCACGTGCTTTAACTACTACCCCGCCGCCCACACCATACGTGTAATTTATTCACCAATACATGAAAATAAGATTCGTAAAGTATAAAAAGTGCTTGACCTATTATTAAGTTTCCTTATTTTCACCCGCAGAAAAACTGATATTCGATCCCATCATTCCCCACATGAAGGCGCAAGTTGACGCCATGAAGACTTCTGGTATCAACAAGATTATTGCTCTTGGCCATGCCGGCTATCAGTTTGACCGGAAGATGGCGCAGGAGGTGGAAGGCCTGGATATTGTTGTCGGTGGCCACAGCCATTCTTTTCTGTACACAGGTATCATATGATTGTGCTTGTTCGTTTGTTGTGTAACGCCGCAATTATTCCAGCTTTTTGTCGGCGATCTGTAAATAATCGGGTCTGGACCAGACACCCAGGTGACATCATGAGAATTAATGAACACAGTTGGATTCGATAGCATATATATATAAAATGTTATGGAAGAAGAATGTTAATACCAAGCACTCAGCCTTCTTGTTAAGTTTCACTAGTCCTCTACCTTCAACCTTCATACCAGCACTGACACAGGAAGGAAGCAATTAAATGAGCCGTCGGTAGGTCATCACTTTAATATTTTTGGGTCGGCCCCAGTCGATCAGGAAATGAGAAACTGAAAAAAAAAAAATATTGCCCTGACAAGTAGTCCTTAGGAATGTCAAACACGAAATAAACATTAAGATGATAATGATTTTTATGGAGACACATGTACAATGTGAATGACCCCCCTCTAAATTGATATCCAGCGTAAGTGACCCCGCCCTGCATTTCATGTACAAAATCAATGACACCCCCTCCCTTCCCATAATTTTTAAGCATAATTTTAAACTATATTTTTATGTACAAAATTGCTGATCCCCTAGTACAAATGTACAAAATGGGTGCCCCCCCCCCTAAAATAATCAGCATCTCACACACACACACACACACACACACACACACACACACACACACACACACACACACACACACACACACACACACCATAGAAGCCATATTGTATTAAGTTAAATGGATGTTGTTCGTCTATTTTGTACAAGTATGGTTCTCAAGACTAAAGCCTTTTTTCAGATAAAATAATGATTTCAGATACAGTTCAGTGGATTTGCTCCTGTATGATTTTTGTTTTCAAAATGAATCAGTGGATTGTCTGGTCCAGACTCGATTGCCATCACTGAGTGCTGCATTAAATACTTAATTGAGTGATAAATTTATTAAAACTATAATGAGAGGATATATAGTACATACCTTTTGTAAGCATCCACGTTTCGCGTGACTGTAGCATTAGCTTCCATCTTGACCCATGTAATGTTAAAGGTCGCGTTAAACCAACCCACTTACTCACAGGCACTAGTACCGTTATCAGTACGTAGTGAATAATTACAAACGATGACCCGCTGGTTCATTCAATCCAGACTAAAGTACGCAAAGGCAGCAGGTTGTAGACTAACATCTAGTCTCTGAAATGAACATATTTTACAGAAAAAAACTGTTTCCAAATTACATTAATAAATGTAACAAATGGGAGCCCAGAGACTTTCTCAATTATCAAAAGCACTGGTAATCTAAACTTGCCACATATTCTAGACTTGCATGGTCTTTATTGCGTATATTTGATTCACATGGTCTGTATTGCGTATATTTGACGGACTATGGGTGGCGTAAAACCGCTACCGAATACGGAATCCTTCAGTTATACGGTACACCAGGTATATTTCTCCACATGATTTGTGTTCTGATCCCCAGGTACACCCCCATCAATAGAGAAGCCCGTGGGTCCGTATCCAACCATAGTAACACAAGCCTCGGGGGCAAAGGTCCCAGTGGTACAGGCCTACTGTTACAGCAAGTACATTGGACATATAGAACTGGAATTCGACGACGATGGAAATGTTGTGGCATGGGAAGGGAGGCCAATACTTCTAGATAAAGACACACCACAAGGTAAATCGTTAAACAATGATATCTCGCCAAAAAGTGCGCGTGAGTATAGTTTTACGTCGCTTTTGGCAATATTTCAGCAATATCATGGCAGGAAACAACAGAAATGGGCTTCACACATTGTACCCATGCGGGGAATCGAACCCGGCGTGACGAGCGAACGTTTCACCCCACCGCCCCGCAGCACTATCAAGAAGGGGGATACCAGACATGAGCTTCACATGTTAAACCCTTCTAATAACCTCAATCCAGGACTTCCCTGTGTCCAGCGAATGCACTGACACTACCACACCGCTCCAAACCCGTGGAGTATTGGTGATATCTGACGTTATGGATAATGTCAGATCCTTGATGGAAATAAGCTTTATTTGATGAAGGTCTGATACATGCAAACATATCATGCTGCCAAAACCTCAACGAAAACATTAAATACCTGCTTTGCAAATATTATGGGAGAATTCAAATATTTCTGAAAAAAAACCAGTTACCATTTTGGGATAAAGAGAATCATACATGCAGACGCGATTTTTTATTTGTTTAGAACATGATGAATGTAAATATCCCTTTATCTGATGTTCATCTGACCACACATAGCCGGATCGGTGGTGGCCATGTTCAGGTTTTAAAAAAAGCCCAATAAAGCCATAACTGATCTGTTGGTCAGCGTGACCAATGTTGACAACCCATTTTCTTACGTTACCGCCATACGAGGTCACGACGTTATTTGATTTAATTAGTCTTCAATTTGCAACATCGTTATTCCCAAGTTCCTCACTTACTCCGCGAATATATATTATGTTGTTGGACCTCTGATTCCATTGACTGCATTTCAGATGCGGAAACCCTGTTGAAGATGGAGCCTTGGGCTAAAGCCGTGAACTCGTCCGCCCTGGCGGTTGTCGGTGCAACTGACGTCTTCCTCCAGGGGGATGAACACGACTGCCGCAAAGTAGAGTGTAGCCTGGGTAGGTCGAGGAGAATCTGTTTCGGGGAATACATGTTTCGTTTGTTTTAGCAAATTTGACGAAAACCAGTTTATGTAATTTATTTTTCTTCACGTTTTATAGCATGGAACACGAATGGGTCATATTTTGCAAACGCTGAAATCACAGGGCCTTTCATCCTCGAATGAACACCTATTGAGGGGAAGATAGTTTTGGACGTTACTGTATTTTGTTGTCGTGGTTTTCTAGGCAATGTCTACACAGACGCTATGATCTACAAGTTCCTTCAGCTTGAAAAATCCCACGAGGACTACTGGACTTCCGTTCCTATAGCTCTCTGTAATGGAGGGGGGATACGTTCGCCAATTGACGTTGGTAAGTATTTCATCATAACGTGCTTGTGTTATCGATGAGATGAACCATTCTCCCACAATTTATTCTCATTATCCGATAATTGAGTTCTTCATGTTTCAACTCTTTCAAGAGGAACTACTTTCGAACTCGAACTGTGTCATGCTATGCGTTCTATTGACTCAACGCTCCCATCAATTCCACGAGGAATTTCCAATGTGTCGTTGCAAACAATGGCTGTAAGTGATTAGGTACTGTATGTTAAACCAACTGGGCGATTCACTCAAACATTGTGTACTTTTTTTGGTTTCTGAAGACTCTTCACAGTCAAATTACGCCTTAAACATCATTCTAAGAGGGCATTACATTAATTATTGTATATTACAAAGAAAATAATACCTTTAAGTGTTTTCGTATCCACCAAAGATTCGCGACCGCCTCCGTGGTGTAGTGGTTAGAGCGTCCGCCCGGAGAGCGGAAGGTCGCGGGTTCGATCCCCGACCGCGTCATACCAAAAGACGTTAAAATATGGTACTAGTTGGTCCCCGCCTGGCGCTCGGCATTAATGGGTACAACAAGGACTGGTCGGCTCGGAGTCAGTATAATGTGTCTGAGTGGGATATTCATGCTTCACTGCGGCATGGTATCTCAGTGGGCTAGCACTATAAAACCAGCTTCAGTCTGGGCTAGTACAAGCAGCCGCAGATACACATACACACGCATGTACGTCGTCATATGAGCGAAATATTCTCAAGCACGACGTTAAACCCAATTTCACCTCACCTCACCTCACCTCACCCAAAGATTCGCTTAACACAATTTACACTAAACTATGTTTTTTAACGAACACGGTTTCAACGAATTGACTTATATAACGACCTGCTGTTTTATCATTGTTGATCGGCATTCTAGAAGTTAGTTCAGTTTACTGTACATTCGTAAGATATTTACGATAAGGATACGTACTTCGTTATTAGTCTCTGTATAGACACACAGTAACCCATGCTTCTTGTCCTCAGAGGCGACTAACGGGATCGGGTGGTCAGGCTCGCTGACATGGTTGACACATGTCATCGTATCCCAATTGCGTCGATCGATGTTCATGCTGTTGATCACTGGCTGTTCTGGTCCAGACTCGATTATTTACAGACCGCCGCTATAAAGGTGGAATAATGATGAGTGGGGCGTTAAACAACAACAATCAGTCAATTATATATGTTTACCCGACCTGCTGCCAATAGGTCAAGATGATCCTCTTTCGGGAGCAGTACACTACTTTCCTCTGTATAAGGATACCTGAGATGCGTTATGGCAAATGAAGTGCTCTTGACTTTATGTAATGAGATGTAACAGAACATAGGTAAAAACACCAGGGGATGTATATGGTCGATTCCAACGAAAAGTGTACACATCATGTTTGGGCCCATAACAAGTTAGCATTACTATCTTCACTTATGTCGGGGTGTCCATCACATCGGCGCAAGTGAGACGATTCGGGCCATATAAAACATGACTATTTTTTATTAAACATTAAGCTTATGGGAGACAAAAACAGGTCATTTTTATTCTTTTGACATATATTTTACAAATGTTTTGTTGAAAACATGTTGTGTGTTAAATACTAGTCAAACTGGATGAACAAAAGTTTATTAATCTGATTGCCAAATATTTCGTGAATAAATCCCCTGAAATGATTTTGCCTAGGGCTTAATTCGTAATTTTGGTAATTTGTTTTCAAGTGGTATTTTTTTGCGTTACCTACGAATACAATTTTCAATGACTCTGTCAATTTATGTAAATGCAACACAAGGTTATGTTTTTATTACCTTTTACAGAATTAATATGTAAATTACTCAAATGCAGTGGCGTTACATAGTATTTCTTACAAGTAATAATCTAAAAAAATGTTAGAAAATCAAGGTCTGATTTGTTAAAAAACAATTACGTTACCTACAAATACCATTAAATATGTTGCTGTTTCCACAGATGAACACATTAGTGAGTGATATCCTAAGTTCAAGTGCAAAGGGCCACAAGGTAAACGTGTGCCACATCTGAACATTTTCTGTGCTGTTTTTACGAAGATATCACACAAAATAACCTATATTCGTAGGTAAATTTTAACTCCCAAATATTATCTACAAGTACCAACAACTGATCACATTCAAATAGATTGGTGGAATGAGAACACGTGACATGTGTTCCATTTAGAAGTCATCGTAGATGAGACCAGACAATATCTGGGTGATTTGTAAGTGTATTTTACATTTTCTGTAATGGTTGGTTAAACGCATGGTTTTAATGCAGGCGAAATTACAATGAAAGACGTGTTATCCGTGCTACCATTCATGAACGATATCGACCGGATCAAGCTGAAGGGAGAGTTCCTTCTGCAGGCCTTGGAACATTCCGTGTCCAGGTATCCGAAGTCTGAATCTGACGACCTTTTTGGCGGCTTCTTACAAGTTTCAGGTACGTCGAAAAAACAGCTGTGTGTTAGTCTGTGTAGAGTTGTGTCCCTTAGACCTGCCATATTACTCTATGACTAGCCATCTATATCACACGTATTATTGTTTTTAAGATTTTCAGTTTCCTATGGAATCCTAGAAGGTACATTGTCGCGTCGAATTGTCGCGTTGTCGCCCTCACAAAAACAAGCAAAAGGTGTCAAAATTAACCAAAGCGCGACAATGTGACAACGCGACATTTTGACCATTTGTCGTATTGTCGCGCTTTGAATAATATTTTTTTATTCATTTAAAGAGCGACAATGCGACATCGCGACAAATGTTCAAAGTCAAAATTTGTTGCGTTGTCGCCCCATGTTATATGTGTAAAAAAAAGCCTTAAAATGCGCGACAACGCGACAATGTCCCTTCCAGGATTCCATTGTTTCCCAAACGTAGTAAATACCTCAGTCCTGCATCACTATCATCTGTGGGGCTTCATCTCACATAAGGCTGACAAACTATGGAATTAACAAATGGTCCACTGTTGTACTACAGTCATGTACACTGAAATGTGGTGAAGTGGAATTCAGCAATACATCGAGTAATACCATGTTTGAGACGATTATATGGTCTTTAACTAAAAATGACTTAATGCAGATGGATAAATCTCAACGAGCAGAACAGAGAATTAAAAGAAGGATCTTTTTGAAAGTATGAACTGTGTTCCAGGTTTGGTAGTGACATATGACGTCAGCAAACCAGTTGGCAGCCGAGTGGTTGATGTCAAAGTACGCTGTTCCAACTGCACAGTTCCCAGGTTCGATCCCCTTGACAAAGAAACGTTGTACACCGTTGCACTGCCGACCTTCACATCTGACGGGGGCGACGGCTACACCGTCATACTCAACAACAGGATACAAATGCCACCAATTGGTAAGTTCTCTTTAAAATTGGTGTTTATGATATACGCTGCCCTTGTGGTGGGTGAGTGAATTTAGTTTTACGCCGCTTTTAGCAATATTTTACCAATATCTCGGGGCCACCAGAAGTGGGCTTCACTCATTGCTCCCATGTGGGGAATCGAACCCGGGTCTTCGGCATGACGAACGAACACTTTAACCACACTGCTACCCCAACGCCCTTGTATGTATTCAGCTTAAACTATTTTTTCTCCATTTGTAGTACATAGAGGATTCTTCATCACGTGTGTTTTCTTAACACAGAACTCTACAGTAGGGAATATCACGCGAGTCTTCGTTAATCGGGATTTGCCGAACCTTTTGCAAATTATATTTATTTATCATTTTCACATTACTATTTCGCTTTTATGAAACAAATGCCCCCAAGTCGCCTTCAGAAACGTGACGAATCATTACGTATTGCGTGTAGTAGTGACACATACTTTCCGGTGAACCAAAATAAACAACCTGTTCACTACATTTTCGTATATTCATTCGCTGAGAAAAGAGGATATTCAAGTTAAAAAAAGCTGGCACAGAGATTGGCAGAATAAATTCAACTTAAATAAGAACAGCGATTCTGTATCAGTTGATTACATGGTATAATTTCACTGATAGTTTTCTTTCGAAAAAGTCCCACTTCCTGTTTACCTACTTTGCATATCAAATTTGCAGACTTATGTCATACTGGGTTTTATGTCATAAGCTAACGTCACGGATAAATGCTTCAGTTAAATGATATAGTCCCTCAAGGATATATATTAATTTTCTTTCTTTCCAGGGGCTCTTGACTCGGATGTATTTGTCAACTATGTGAAGAAATTTTCTCCCTTGACCCAGGGTGTAGAAGGCCGTATTCGTTTTGTGACGGAACCAGATTGTGGCGTGAATGGTGGCATCGTAACTTCCGCAAAGCTATCAGTCATCGTTAGTGTGATATTGATACTTATGTGTAATTACCTTTAGTTGAACCAAGGTGCATTCTCTTCAGTGACATTGGAAATCCTGAGAAAACATGAGGAACATGAGTGTCACAAATGTAATTTACTAAACCGGAATTCCTCGTTATTTGAATTGTTTGTTTACTTTTTCCAGTTTCGAATTTCCCTCGTTATATAGTCTATATTTGCGTAAGTTGATTATTTTCTCGTTACTTGAAATCAATTTGTCCTCGGTGCAACGACTATTTTCTCGTTATTGCAATAAAAATTGTTATAAGTTCGTTAGTTTAAGTTATGCGAAATTTTGGGTTGAAATTTTATGATGCCAAAGAAAACCACTAGGCTTTAGTCATTCGAACCCATATAGACCTTCTTCGGTTGCAATCGTTGGAACGTTTGTGGAAAACGTCCAATCGAACATAACCGACCAAGAAAATCTCGATCGAAGGAACGTGTGCGTTGAACAATGTACATTTGGTATGTTACCTGATCTAGTCTCGAAAACATCTCGTGTCATCTCGCATACACAATGGCTTTTCGAAGAGTTACATATTAAGCACATCTCGTTAGGTAAATGTATTCCAGTTACAAAGAATCCCTTTGGCTACGAATGATACAATGATCTTCATAACAAAGCCTTAGACGGAAACGTCAATGAAGCTATATCTATTACTCGAACTGTGTATATCTTGAGGTAAGTACATCAGTATAATGATACATCATTTCATGACTTAATCGTAAAACAATAGACAACTGACTCAAGCAGATTGAAAAGTTAACGTTAATGTTCCTTCTGATGTGTATCATTCATGCTTTGTACATTATCGTTGCTCCTATGTCCATGTGCTGTCATTCCCTAAATGTGTGTATGAGCATATAGATTGTTACCATATATATCTGTCGATATCTACATCTGAATACATCACTTTAATGGCCTGAGACAGCTATGAACATGTCTATTTGAGAAAGTAGATACGGATGTCAAGACATTCGGGATTAACGGATGCCAATAACACTCGGGTTGCTTTCAAGGGTAAACTGATTTATATATGGACCATTGTTATGTTTATTCAATGTTGAAATTGAGAAGAAGACAAACACCGAAGATGCATTTGCCGCTGAATCGCGCTAAATCAAACCGATCCCGATCACGGCCCGGTTGCACAAAACGAGCTCAGTGCTATGACTGTTTTGAGTCTGTAGTACAGAGAGCTTGGGACATTGTACACAGTGCTAGTCACCATTTTCTTTTCAGGAGTCGATTATTCTAAGACAGTCACATAAATGACTGAGTGCGGCGTAAAATAACAATCGTTCGACTCACAGAAATACTTTGCAATCATTACTTCACGCAGTTAAGCTTGTTTACGCCAATCATACAGTCACTGTATGTATTGTTTACTCACGGCTCTGAAATCATATCAAATAATTATATCGAAAGCGACTGAAGATGACGTGCTGTATTTGCATTCTGTAGACACATGAGGTTTTGTGATTAATTGTATCATAAATTCAAGCATTTCAAACGCACACATTTCCGTTGTCTGTAACAGTTCAGATTTGACTTGAGTTTTACACAATATCATTATTTTGTTAGTTGTACAGTTATATTTTTCATTAAACCCTTAAATTAAAGAAAAACGTGTCACAAACATGGAAGTGGGGGTGGGGGGACGCTGAATAGTCAACCATGGTTATTTCATGGGATTCAAACAGTTTAAATGTGTGAGTGGGTCTGGTTTTACGCCGCATTTCTCAATATCACAGTTGGGGACGCCAGTAATTGGCTTCACGCTTGTGGTGAATCAAACCCGCGCGTCTTCAGCTTGAGTAGCGAGCGACTAGGCTACCCCACTGCCCTAACGTATGCATGAACTCACATGGGACAGAAACAATAGTGAAACATATACAAAATGGAATTGTGAGCGGATACAGCAGTGAATAGTTTCTCTTCCTCTTTATGAGAGGGGCGGTGACGTAGCCCAGTGGTTAAAGCCTTCGCTCGTCACGAAGACCCAGGGTCGATTCCCCGCATGGGTATAATGTGCGAAGCCCATTTGTGATGTCCCCCGCCGTGATATTGGTGGGTATTGCTAAAAGCGTCGTAAAACTAAACTGACTCACTCTACCTTTTTATAACTTTACTCATTCTATTTGTAGCGGGGCGGTGGGGTAGCCTAGTGGTTAAAGCGTTGGCTCGTCAAGCCGAAGACCCGGGTTCGAATCCCCACATGGGTACAATGTGTGAAGCCCATTTCTGGTGTCCCCCGCCGTGATGTTGCTGGAATATTGCTAAAAGCGGCGTAAAACCAAACTCAGCCAGTCAGTCAGTCTATTTGTAGCAGTTGAGTCTGAGGGTTTAAAGGTAATAATGACATGGAACATTCATGCATTTCCAAGTTTGTCTGCAGTTGTCTGTAACATTATGGTATATGGGTTTTATATTGCCAATTGTATTCTGAACCCCGAAATTCACTAACCGTGTTGGATAGATTTGGGACAATGATAAGACGGAGACACTAAGACAGTGTGTGCGGAATCCTGTATCTCGCCTGCCACAGCTGACCTCAGCAAGCAAAACACTGTGCCTTTTTTGACATAACATTCAGAAGGACATATATTGTGAACATAGAGATTTTTCTGGGTTACATCTTCTTTTTATTCTCGAGTACAACGTTTCAGGGCTTGTTCTGGCCCCATCATCAGGTAAACTGAACAGGAACTGTTAACTCTGGCCGTGACGTCACGGCCAGAGTTAACAGTTACTGTTCAGTTTACCTGACGTCACGGCCAGAGTTAACAGTTACTGTTAGTGTTCCTGTTCAGTTTACCTGATGATGGGGCCAGAACAAGCCCTGAAACGTTGTACTCGAGAATAAAAAGAAGATGTAACCCAGAAAAATCTCTATGTTCATCAAATATCATCTTCTAAAATGCCAATCAAGCATCTGACATATATTGTGATCGTATTTTTATACCTTTAAATTTGAATTACCAATGTAATGTTCTATTTTCAATAGCGTGAATGGGACTTTTAAGTAATAGAATTTATGTTGTATGTGTGGTATATATAATTTCATATTCCCGATAACGTATTAGTATTTAAACGTATTTGAACACCGAAATGTGTGCCTTCGTTAGAAGGTTTACGGTAGTCATGACTATGTGCCTGTTCGTGACAAGACAACCTCGGCGGCCATATGGCCTTAATGGGCGACTACGCACATTTTGTGTGGAGATGGCGTGTTAACAAATTCCACAAGTCAAGGATGTTATCGCACAGAAGTCTGAAACAGTCTGTAAGTAGAAGACATAAAGTGAACAGAAACTAGTATTGTTCATATTGTTTAGTATGCCTGTGTTCATTAAACAGTTTGGGAACATTGCAATATTGTATTTTATAATTCTTTGACATGTTAGTGAAGACACGATACTGTGTTGCCTCCGTGTTAATGCCTCGCCATGTTTTCTTGTCCGCTGTTTGTATGATAGAGATTTTGAGGTGAAGACTTTCAGATGAGGCAAGTCATGTTTCTACCGTTTCCAGACTACGAGCAACGTAATTGTAAAGCCATGAATCAGGATTTTCAAACTTAATGAAGATAGATAGAAGGTCCGCAACTCCTTAAAACTTGTGAATCCTTAATGTCACTATTTCACACTACACTTCTCTGAAAATGAACAATAATTTTTATCTCAACAGTACTAGCTATCTGCCCTCAGGGAAGTTTTCGATGTACGTAACAACTGTTTACATCCCATATTTGGCAAGTGTTCTCTGTATGGAAGCTGTTCGCCTCGAAGTTTCAATTATAGATTTCAGGCAAGTCGTAAGGGATAATAAGTCCTTCACTGCATCAATAGGACGCTAAAGTGAGTGCATATGTCCCGATATATGATATAGCCTAAAATATGGTCGAAAATGAGTGAAATTGTGCCTTTAAAACGTCCTTTAAGCCATATAAACTTGTTATCACAACGATTGTTTTCCCCATCTGTATGTATATTCGGCTGTATTATGATGGAATAATAAATACAATTAAAATATTACACGAGCGTCAACGCAGTTCATTCAATGTGTGCGTGTGTGCGTGTGTTGATTGACCTGTTTCTCCTAAGACACTTACTAGATTTACACCAGTGCTGTAACTCAGGGCACATGGGTTACGATTAAAACCACGACCACACACAGATAGAGTGAGTGAGTGAGTTTAGGTTTACGCCGTTTGTAGCAATATTCCAGCAATATCACACTAGAAATAGGCTTCACACACTGTACCCATGTGGGGAATCGAACCCACTAGGCTACCCCACCTCCCACGCACAGATAGAGATGAAGATGTTTTTGGTACACGTGTTCGCCATCAGCGAATCCTGGCGCGACAAAGCGAAGTAACTGTGCAGACTTCTCGCGTCCTTTAACGTTTCAAGAAATATGCATACCCTTGAAATAGTAAGTTAACCTAGAAATATATACGCAAAAGATGAAGCGTGAAACCAACAAACAACAATTATACGAACAACAATTGTATTCTATAATTTCATAGGTTTACAAAATCATACACATTACGGTAAAGTAATTATATGATGGCAGTACACAAGAGAGTGTAATACAAAACTCAATGACAGTACAACGGCGGCATGAAAAAGGATAACGGTGGTAATAGAAGTAAAGTATGTGACTATAGTATTCACCTAGCAGAGTGAGTGAGTTAGTTTAGTTTGCCGCCTCTTTTAGCAATATTCCAGCAATATCACGACGGAGGACACCAGAAATGGGCTTCACACATTGTACCTATCTGGGGAATCGAACCCGGGTCTTCGTCGTGACGAGCGAACGCTTGAACCACTAAGCTACCCCACCGCCCCGATGAATCCTGTGAAATCATGTTCATTAATGAACTCCGGGACCCTGTATTGTTTGACAGCAATTTGATTGTCAAGATTCAGGAAAGGCATGGCAAATATGAAGAACTAGCTTGCAAAAAGACACATGTCGTGTACCAAGTTGTCCTGCTCCCTGCTGTTCTAGATACCTTAGGGTTGGTACCTCCCAATCTGACACACTGGACAATGCATAAGGCTACAGTTTTGAGATGTCCTCCGAAATGTTTTGGTGGGTTCGAC